ATTTTTGCAGAGTAAGTTTGATAATTTTGATACAATACCCAGGCAGAATATGAAGGTCGTCCGTTCTGTTTTTTGCAATACAAGCTCAATAAACTGAATGAGACCTCAATTCACAACCGTACTAAAGAGGCTTCGTTTCGCAATAGTGAAACTGTCGGGTTGAGATCAGTCGCCAAGAACTTTACCACGTTTGCCGTTTCGTTCGCAAGTAGCCTGCATGGACGCCGTGAGGGGATTGGGATCTTCATGAGTGCGTGATTGCAGGAATTTAGATAAAAAGGAACAGTTGTTCCCTTAGGGCAGGCCTGCACAACTCAAATTACCACGAGGGCCGCAAGCATAAATTTGAAGGCCCGGCGGGCCGCAAACTTTGCCACATACATATTTCACAAGATGAACTTCAAATCAAAATAATATTGTGAAACAGTTAAATTTGATGAAAAACTTCCATTACTGGAAAGCTTAAAAATATGAAGAATCTTATTTTCTTGAGTATTTAGTGGTTCATCTACCTTGAAAGCGACCCTTCATTTTCAATATTTTTTTTATTAGAATTAGGTATTGCGTGTTGCAGTATACTGACTGCAGGAAAATATTTTACTCAGGTTCAGTTTTGTAAAATCGTCCCACATATAGGTATTCAGTCATATCTAACATTTTTAGATATTTTCATTGCAGGCTGGACAAACAATCCGTTTAGTAGCGATAGATCTTCCTCTGTTGTACTTTTTCGACTGTTAAATTACATTTTTCTACAAAATCTGCTCCAAAGATTTGAAGTTTTACAGTAAATAGCAATATATTTTGTGCGACAATTTCTGCAGCGTTCATGAATGAAAAAATTGTTTTTTAAGTTTTAAATTTGAAAAAGAAACTTCAGTTTCATAAACTGCTAGTAAAAAATAGTGGGGTTATTAGTAGGTTGCTAATATGCACTAATGGGTGTGAGATTGTATACCGATATTGTTTTGAGCGTGATTCAGTTTGAATACCGAGATATCTAGATCAGGGTTTCCCAAACTGGGGGGCGAGAGGTCGAGCGACGAATTTTAAGGGTCGCGAAGGGCACACCAATTTTACAATAAGTTCGATATTTATTGAAACTAGTGCAAAACATAAATCTCACGATTTCTAATATGATCGGAGTAGCGGCGCGCTTGCATAAATAACAATGTAACAAAAATAACAAAGATTTGTTTCCAAATGACCCGCGGGCCGCACAGAAGTATCTAGCGGGCCGCATGCGGCCCGCGGGCCGTATGCTGTGCAGGCCTGCTTTAGGGGGTAAGTTTTTGTATCAGATGACGTCACAATTTGCTCTTTGGTCAAATGTGACGTCATAACTGCTTTTCAACATTTATTTTTCTGTTATTGTGCGGAGACTAAGTAATCTGCAATGACCATCCCTGCTGTTTCCTATCGATACACACAGAAACGGACATTTCAAAACTAGTTTTTTTCTGACGTATTCTTCCGTGAAAGTAACAAAAATAATTATGGCAAAATTAAATTAAACATTCGAGAACACTATGTTATGAAAAGAACACAAAATGAGTACAGAGAGAGCAAGGGCGCGTTTGGCCAAAAATACTAAAAAAACAAAAGGCAAAGTATTTCTCATGTTCTAATAATTATGTAATCAGCGTCACCTGCTATAAAATCTACTATGACAATTGTAAGAATTGCAAAAAAAAAGCAATTAAAATATTAAAAATGAACAAGCACGCGGCTAATATGGTGCATATATCACTATTAAATATGTTCAAATTAAAATAATTCGTTCTAACTCGTATAATGTATATATATCACTATTTTAGTTGTTTGGGCTGGACTTCATGAAAGTTAAAACCATATTTCGATATTAATATAATCGTCTTCCTCACGCATGACATCCGCGTTGCTACAATCGTTGCAACTGCACAAACTAGAGCATGAGAACCCTGACTTCACACAAGGGCATTTGGGGTTCTTGCAATTCAATTTGGCGCATCTACATTTAGAGTGGTTTAGCACTGAGTTTGGGGCAATTTGTTTTGAAATCCATTTAATACTTATATTTTCATTATTTAATCCATCCGTGGCCATCAGGATTTGGAGCAGATATAAAATTTTGTAGTGCTCTCCTGTGTATGACACACTGGTAGTTTGCACGTGCTGAATGGAGTACGATAGCATCCTCAGATGGGGGCATACAGGGTTCGTCTAGCGATTTCTTTTGAAATATTTCAAAACGTACTTTGTTAACAGACATCTCATCAGAGTAACCATAAAGAGTGCAAACAAACTTTGAAAGTTGAATATAAATATTTTCAGGAATGTACCACTGATCCCCTAACTTTGAAAAAGCCTATCTAAAAGCCTATATCGCATACCCTTCACTTTTCCCTTTCCACCGAAAGCGGTAACGGTGTCACATCCGCTAAATACATGTACACTCGGAATAGCTTTACAAATGACATTTCCGAAGTGGTTAACCATTGTTCTGATTGATAACATCCTGGACTGCGAACCACTTCCAGCTTCCAGTTAAAAAATACGAATTACATCCAATATCGGTAGAATGTGCCAATGACAATATCAATACATCGGTATCAGAACTATTAATAATAATTACGTCGTTAAATTCTGATGAACATTGCTTGACGTGTAATAAAAGCTTGGTATCTGCTTCTTCGTGATCGTTGACCAAAGAAGGCTCGCCCGATACGCAAAGCTGAAATTGATGCAGTGACACTCAGAATCGTGGCCGATAAAAATTTTCATATTTCCTGCAGGACGAGAAGGTTGATAATTCGTAGCAAACAAAATTAAACATTCCACGAGTGCCTCCTTATTCATGCCGGAAAACAAAAACTTTTTAAACTGTTTCGGCGTTTTTTGTTCTAATTCTATTATTTTGATGATTTCGCTTTCATTCGATAATCGGGGACACCTTTCAAATTTTTTTATGCTAGAATCTGAATAGGTGTCACACACAAAGTCAACCCTGTTACAATTGTAAGACTTTGCCATATTAATTATTCTGTCGAAAATCAAATTCAAGAGTGTTTCAAAAGTTTCCGGAATATTATTCAAGGATTGCAGTAAAGCCATACCATCTATTACGAGAGCTGCATTCAATGGATATGATTTGACTAATACTTCTGGCACACTATTTTCCAATTCGTGCAAAAGCCTAGTTTTATTAGTTCTCACCGGCGTTCCCTTTGGTGAACCAATATATGCTGGGATAGCAGTTAATGGATATTCTAGCATTTCTTGGAGTTCTATATTTTTCGTTTTCCCAATAAGTAGAAGCCTATAGAAATTATCTTCTGATTTTTTAGAGAAGTGTTGTACTTTTTCGTTAATTTTGGCGCTACCCAAAGCAAATGTTCTTGATTTTAGCATTTTCATTGGAGTAAATATACTTACGGTTGAATTAGCAAGAATTCGGTTTCGGCAAAATAAATCTGCGTTGCTTTCTCCCAGTCTACATGCGTCTTCCATATCCATTTTAATAGCATTTAATGCAACGGACCCCGAAGAAAAGTTTTAAACCAAACGGGTCGGTCATGAAGGTCACCGTATCGACTATTGATTGCACGTTTTTTTGTTCTCTGATTGAGTTAGCAGAATCAAGGTCTTTGCGCTGTCGTCTAGTAGCATCTTTTCCAGCCATTTCTCTGCATGCCGTAGAAATAAGAGCGCGTTGACTTTTACAGTCCTTCGCGACCCCTTATCGATTGCTATGAATCTCTGTCGTTATTTCCCGTGTTTATTTCAATTTTTCATATAATTCCGTTATACACTGTTGTGTTGTGTCTTCATTGATTCTTGCATGATAAAAATAAATTATCTGAATCTGCGTTGATGGTGTGATAGGAGCCATCTATTTACAGCATATTTGTTTAAAGATAGCCCACGAATTCCGCCTCGGGTTTTAAAATCTCTGTTCAAAGTTTGCTCAATTATTTGATTGCAGGCAATTTGGCTGAAACCATATTGAGCATGACGCTGTACAGAAAAAATTCCCTGCTTTAAATACTGATATATTTAAAGATGACTTGATGACAAATTTTCCATTTCGGACAAATAGACTGAGACATATCTCGCATAATTAATATGATCATACGCAAAAAAACATGGTAGCATTTTATAAAGTGTAGCAAGATGGAGATGTCATATATCGATATAACTCCATAAACTGAATGTTTTATTCAACTTGCTCTGATGCTCTATAAAATACTGGTAATCCGCCAGTAGACTTCTCACTTCCTCGCTTTCTCATATTTGTTTGAATAATTGAGGGTCTGTATGAGCATTATTCAGCTTTGATGCCAAATCAAAAACCTTGGCTTTGCTTTGCAATGATTGGTTTTTAATGAATACGTTCCACCGCATCCTATGCAACGCTTCAAACACGAGTTTGTGGGCTCGAATACTTCTATTGTAATGGCGACCTTGCATAATGCTATTAATGGAACCTGGAGCAACAACACGGGATTCTATTAATATATCGGATAGACCAAAGCTTTCGTATCGTTTTCCAATTACTGAAAGAAATGACATGCATGTATGGAACTCTCCAAGTCGCAAAACCATTCTTTTGTAGAAAAGTGGATTGCTCCAACGTATTTTCTGGGCCTTAGCGTATATGGCCTGATCAAATACTACAACAACAGAGTGTAAGTCAAGTTCATCAGCAATAGCAACGCTTTTTCGAGTACTGTGTTAATTGTTGATATATCTGTAGATGGTGCGTCGATAACCGGCTAGTATCCAATATTCGACACACGGGCAGTACTTTTATTTAGAATGGCATCAAAAGCATTCCAGCCCGGAACAACCTTTTTTGAAACTTCTGGCAGTTAAAGAAGCAAGATCTATGTTCAAATATTCGGAAGTTAACGAAGAACAGGCAGTGGAGACATTATTTCGTTTGAAATCTAGGCAGGTTCGGACGTTATTGAACTGCGGTACGGAATTATGGATTCCGATCGATTTGGAACAGAACGTCGCTTAGATTTTGCATGTTTTTCTCGTGATTGAGAGGCAATAACAGTTTCTGTGACCTGTATTAAAATTCCATTTGTATTATGTGTCGTTCCTTCTCCAGATTTTGTCTCTTCATTGAAATCATTATTGTCCCAAACAATTCTTGACTGAATGCGCGGTAGAAACCCATTGGGAACAATCGCGTGTTTTTGTAGTTGGAATTCGGTAAATGCAGTGTCATGCTCTAGCACAGCGTTTCCCAAACTGTATTCCGCGGAACACTAGTGTTCCGCGAGCATCTTCGAAGTGTTCCGTGGAAAAGGAATCAAAGAAACGTCTTAAATAGTCGCCATGGAGATCTATGGCAAGGCTTCCCAAACTAGTAACTAATTCCAGTCGGATACAGTACCGATATCGATGATACGATGCCTTATGGATCAGTTCGCATCAGATCATGCTGGCCTGCATGGAGTTTATCTTGGAAAACTGATCGAAGCTGAGCATAACATGAACATTCAAACGTCAGATGTAACGTACCGTATATTTAATTCCATAAAAAGACTGCTTACACAAAGCACATGGATTTTGATTTAAACTAAAGTTCGAACGCCAGGGCTTGGAATGCTTTTGCCATATTTTACTTCGTTTGTTGTTGTTTACTTTTACGCTGCTTTTATTATTGTTGTTTATCGTCCAGTCGACAACTACTGAACTAGTTGATTGCGTTCGTGATCACATTGATTATCGCATTTTGTGCACCGCTTGTTTGTTTGTTGTATTCTACACTTCTCCGTTATTTTCTAGTACAGTACAGTTGTATAGTAGAAACTGCAGTCTATGTTCAAACTCACATCCACACGAAGTATTTACGCCCGAATAATAATTCAATTGTAAGTCAGGCTATTATGTATATGGGGGATCATGGGACGTTATTCCTTTGAAGCAGCAATTACCGGTATGTGAAATATTTGGTTTATATAATTTTGTTTTTATTCATTGACTTCTTACTTCTAATTACAATATATAGCGCAGAAGGCAGAACTTATATCATCAAATATTGTGTGATATACCGGTAACTGATATATATACTATGATTTTGTTATTTAGCTCAAATGGTATAAGTTAACATTATAGGGAAAATACAAATAATATCTGACCAATGAAAGAAACCACTAACTAAATCGATGTAAGCTATTCAACATATTGTGATCATTTTTTTTTTAATATGTTTTTAATTTTTTTCCCTAGCACTTATTTATTATATCATATGGAAAGTCTCATTCTACTGTTCTAGATAATGCTCCCTGGGTGTGTGCTTTTATGTTTGGTTTGATCATATCAAGGTGCAAGTCATCATCATTGATATAAAAAGATTTAAAATATTACCTTCTTGTTGTTTAGGTTATTTTTCCGCTTTCAGAAACCTAATTTTTGACACAGTTTAACTCTCTAATTGAAGACAAGGAGGGACATTTTTGTGAAGGATCAGCAGCACCTCAATCAAACTATGTTTCTTGATGTTTTAGAAGTGAGTTTTTCCAGCGTGGAAAGAATTATTAAAATACTAGGCTACTTAATTACTGCAGACAATGAGTTGGTTTACCGGTATAAATATTTGCACAAATACTAAATTATAATGGAGGTTATCTTATTCTAGATGTTGGAATAATATACCAATTCTGGGCATGAACAAGCTCTGTTGTGGAATTTGTTCCCCTGGCTGAGTTGATTAATTTTTTAAGTCTTGTGACAGTAGAGCACAGTTCTCCAAAGGCCAATTTCTATGTTCTGACATTTGTTTCATTAATACAAAGACACCATCTGTCTCTAAAAGGAGGGCTTCTGGCATCACGCAGACGCGCCAGATTGTGCCAAGCATATCTCAATAGTTATCTGAATTTGATGCGACCATCACATGGCCAAGAGTGCAATTTCTGGCTTAAAACTCTCGAATGCGATGGTTAAAATTTGTTCCTCCAGTCAATCGGACTATTTTTTCTGATGAATCTGATGGTGACGTTTTTAGATTGCACTTCATTTTTGTTTGTTTATGCGTTGTTTATGCGTTGATTCATTCATGTTGATATGGAGGGCAGACTGTCTCGTTAATGAGGAGTTTGCACTTACTGTTACTAAAGATGTTTTTCAATGTAGGGCTGCTATTCTTGGAATCCGAGAACTGTGCCAACAACTGGACACTAGAGAACAACTGTCTAGTCAGACTAGTGGCATCTCTGTCTTAACTTTTCAGTGGTCTTTACAATACTTTTTTCATACTCTTATCATTCGTAATTGAGGGCCTTGGACCCTAGTTTGAACAAACAAAAAGCATAATTTCATGCCTATCAGTTGTCTTTCAGATTCACTATTTTTGTTGATTCTTTTAAAATGACATGAATGGTTAATAGAAAAATTATTTGAATCATGAGAAAAAAAAAAACTTCTCATAAGTTTCTAGTCTTATTAAAAGAATAGTCATCATTTCCAAAGTTTTAGTGCTAGGAAATGGGATTAGAATTCTGGCCCCAGATGTTTAGATGACTTTTTTCGCCTGATTAAAATAAGGCTACCACATCATTTTCTGAGTCTCTGTCGATGAGAGTCTTGTTAGATGGAATATAGCTTCCTTCTTTATTGTACTTGCCATATTGAGTCAAGAGATATTTTTTATTTTTAAGTGAGCAGAAGAATTCCCCAAATTTTTGAAATCAAATATACAAGATAATAACGCTAGATTAAGGCAAGGGCAACTTTGGTTCTAATTGTAAATATCATTTTTCAGAATTTAGATTCTTGACGCTGATAGATATGGAGACTTCATCATCATCCTGATATCTGAGATAAGAATGTTGATAACTTCAACAATTTTCAGGTAGATATGGTCTGACTTTTGTGATTTTTACCAGATTTTTCATTATGTAAGGTCAGTTTTCCACAACCTTGAGTTGGTTGGACTTGACAGCTGTTATCCCAAGCCCGTCAAAGTTTTTTAGAGGTAAATGTTAGATTTATGATTCATGACTTCTATCAAAAGAATGTTCATACCCCAAAATTGATGTGTATAAATGGAAGCTCCAGGCCTCTAGTATGGTTTTATATGGTTTTAGTACGCATTTATCCTGCAAAATATTGATAGGCATGTTCCCAACAGTCAAGAGTACTGAAAAAACGGCGCTCCGGAAGTGTGTGTACCAGATATGGAGGTAAGTAATTTTTTTCGCCACATCAAGTTGTAAAGGGACGGAATGATATGGGCTGGTGGGGGTATATTCACAGGCTAACACAGACAGTCCCCGAACTCGTAATAAAACTAAAATAAGGAAAATCTGATTAAAGTTATGGCCTAACCCCAACCTGGTACAAACACTACGGGAGTAGCGAAAAACAACAAAGATATTGTGTCATGTTCTCCAGAGCTTGGGTTTGGTGCGCGAATTTCATAGACATAGTTAAAATATAATTAGCAGGGCGGCAAAAAAAATTCCTGTTAACTCTTCAGGCAGGATGTGTATTGTTATGATTTAATATACCTAGGTACTTTGTATATGTTCACATGCATGGGTCAAACTTTCAAAGCTGGAAACTCATTTCCATACTTGCCTGTCTGTAAAATTAAATTTATGGCGGTTCACAACATATTCAAATAAAGAGTTACAGAAGTTTATACTTTTTCTCCATTTCTCAAACTTCTATAAGAACCAGTTTCTCCTATATAAATTCTGTATGCAATCTCTCTACAATAAAATATCCCATGTTTTATTTGCTCTATGCAGATGAACAATTGGGTAAATTGGTTGCTCAAAGATTAGATGATTGTTAGTTCATAGATGCATCTTGATTATCTTGAGAGTGACAAAGCATTGAATACCAGATTATTAAAATATGGAAATACACTCTTTTTAACATATATAGTCGCCATCACAGTAAGCTCAATGTACCCATATCTTACCTATAATGCTATAATATATATTATATTTGTCATATTTTATTTCATATTTCAGTCACGGCACCTCCTGCCCAAACAGTAATTGTAACAACTGAGACCCAGAAGATAAAAGATCAGCCAGCAAAAATGTGGAGAGAATACAGGTACGGTAATTATTTAGTTCATAGCTCAGGGTGGTCCAAGGTTAACATCTGCTCAAATTGGTCAGCTTTCTTCCTCATGTTCACAAAATAACTGCAGATTGTTTGATTACTGAATTTTATCAAATTTGAGAGGTTAATTACTTAATTTTCTGACATATAGGCAGCATATTTTACTCATTAGGCTGGTTGCAAAAAAACTCATTCGATTTTTAGTTTTCTATTGAGCCTATTTTGTTAGCATATATTCCAGACCAAAAAATAGAAAACCGGTTAACAATTTAGGCTAGCCAAACACATTATTCAACTTTGCTAGTTGCCCCAGCTAGCCTTAACACTAGTCAATTCAGTGACATTCATTAGTGATGTAACAATATGTCAAAGATTTTGCTAGTTATTTGTATTACGAAACAACACCAAACCACACCTGTCATAGCTTATCCATATTCAATCAGGGTCCAAACCACCCCTTTTTAAAATTCTTCTAATCCTGAAGTGGTTACGAAGAATGTGTGTGATTTTCCATAGCTAATTTTTTTATAACAGCTGATCGTTGCCATTAGGATGACCTGATTATTTAATAAAATGCAAAAATCTTCATATAGCTTTCGCAAATTCTCCCAAGTCATATCTCATAGGTATCTATCAGCGCTTACCGTATATATCTTGGGCTACAAAGACATCGATTATTTGTTTTTTAGGTATTTTGTGAACATCTGCAATAGGATAATAAATTCATTGAAGCCATGAATGCTGCACTCCAACTTTTTGACTGAAACCTGAAACTCCATCCTATATATGCCATTCTTAAGTGAAATTCCAAGTTGACTTTTTTCAGAATTATTCTATACATAAATATTTATTAGAAAATCCAAAAATATAGTTTTTTTCAATATGTTCTTTTATTAAAGACGATCCATAGCTGAATTTCTTACTTTCAACTGTAAATAATGTATGTATACATAAGTCTATATTATATGTCTGAATTTATTCAAAGGTGAAATCTTATTTTTATCTCTTAGTTTTCAGCTCAGCTCATTTCTATCAATCAAATCACATGAATACAAACCAGAGCATTGTGGCTTCACTCAAGCATCAGAGAAAGTCTTTAGGTTTGTTTTCTAAATTGCATTTAAAGCAAATGCTAGTTTGGACCGGCGGCCCATTTTCAGAGGGGGTCCGCAATGCTAGGTACAAAACTGATTTTACTTTCCCCTGACAATAAACCTCCCCATTTATTGATTGATAAAGGTATTTCATTGCGTGTTTTCATTATGTTGAGCATGAATTGTTTAAACATAGTTGGATTTGAAATCTCCTGATCAAAATACACTATAATACCACTAAGTCAAAAGATAAACGAGGCCACAAGACAAAGCGTTCTAAAACTGCTTTACAT